ACCAATTTTACTTAATAGAGTTTAAGTGTTCTCTACAGTTAGCAGCAGGGCATTAACTGTGCACATCACAGTTTATCCGTAAACATATAGAGACATTGATTTGTGTAGAAATAATGAACATATAAGAGTACTTCAGTACCATTTAATCCTGTAAATTGTAACTGGGTTATAACATTTTTTTTGAAATCTTGTTTATACAATTAATAGTTTAGCAAGACATTTTTCTTAGCTGTTACAAAAAGCAAACAAGCTCAGACTAAATTTTCACAGATCCAGAATCTTTTAAATTAAATGGACTGTCTAATTTTCATAAAACAGCACTTTTTTTTTCTGTTTCTTACCTTACAGTTTTTTCCCCCAAATGGATGGCGGCATCAATTGGAAGATGAGCTTTAGTGACCCATGGGAAGGCATTCTTTCGGCCTTTTCTAAATCTGTGAACTGATTTTACTTTATTTATATCTGTTTAAGAAATTTCATTTGAAGAGTTTCTGTTTAGATGGTTTTATTTGCTGGATGAAGGAGAATACTCTGGCACTAACTAGGTTACCCCTGCATGTCCTGGGAGTTGTGGTCACAGAGAAATACTCTTCTCTAACAGCCTGCCTGATTCCACTTTCTTCTCTTCATCCAACACACATCACTGCCATAAGTTCCCGTCATCACCACTCTTTCTCATAATCTGTCCCTCCTTTCTGCCTTCATCCCTGCAGCTACTCTTACTAGGGTTCTCAATGCCCTTGCTTTTTTTGCATTTCCCTTTAACTGGGAGCTTGGATAAATATGGATCAATGTACTCTGCTTCCACAGGATGGCCTTTTCCTCAATCAATATGCTCTTCAGGGTCAATTGCAGCTTCTCTCATGGCTTCATTTCCTGGCCGTGGTCTGGTGACTCTCCTATTTACTTCTCCAGTCCAACCATCTCTTTGGATCCTATCTCCACTAACATATTTTGTGGGTGCCTCTTAATTCCCCAAGGAAGATTAAATCCACCATCCTCCCAGATGCTCAAGCTGGGGACCTGGGTAACATGGGAGGCCCAGAGAGGTTAATTAATTTGTCACAACTTATAAGTGGAAAAGTCTGAGACTGAAGGACTTTCTCTTTCCCCTGATCCATATCTTAGCCTCTCTTATACGTGGGAGTAAGGACTATTTTTCTACTCATCTTCAGGTGTCCAGTCATGCATAGCATACTGTAAAATTCAGTAAATTTTTATTAAAACAAAGAATGCAAGTATCTTAGAACATTCTCTTCCACTTCCTCACTATGGATGTAAGGAGATGAAAGCCAGAGGAATTAGAACATTTTTTCAAGTGTGTGGGGCAGGCTCACTTTTACTACTTCATACACACCACCAACTGACTAGGAAATAGATTTATTTCTTCTCTGCCTCTTCCCTAATCAGGAGCTGATGGAAGAAGGAGGAAGATATGAGGAGAAAATCTAAAATAAAATAAGATGATAAGGAAAGAGAGTTGAGGGAATCCTCAGGGTCAGGTTTAGGGAAGAGGTTTAGGAAAATTTACTTCCACATATACTTCTCTCACTCCTGGGCAGAGGCAGATGACACTGCTGCCTGACTCTGTATGTTTTGTGTGTGTGCATGCATGTGTATGTGTGTGTGCATATGTGCCTGTACTTTGTGTTTTGATGCATATTGCCTAGCACTATTCAACTGGCACTTGCTCTGCCAAGGGGAATAACCAGAACATTGGAGGTGACATGTACGAGTATTAACCCTATGTTACACATGAGGGTATATACGTGAAAAGACTTGGGTCTTTGACTTCCTATCTTCCTGAGCAATTTTGCACACCTGCTTTAGGATGAATGGCAATGAGATCATTAGACCCAGTCTGGAAGTACTGGATTTCATCCCAAAAGACATACATGGCTTTGGTCAACTAAATTCCCTGTACATCATCCATTTTGGGGTGCTGAATTTGGCCTTTCTGCTCTGTGACCATTGGGAAATGGTATTCTTTTTATTTTTTTTTTAAGACTTTATTTATTTATTTGAGATAGAGAGAGTGAACAAGAGAGCAGGAGCAGGGGAGCAGAGGGAGAGGGAGAAGCAGGCTCCCTAAGGGAGCCTGACATAGGGCTTGATCCCAGGACCCTGGGACCATGACCTGAGCCGAAGGCAGGCAGATGCTTAACTGACTGAGCCACCCAGGTGCCTCATGGGAAATGGTAGTCTAAAACAAACAAACAAACAAACAAACAAACAAAAAAAACCCAAAGAGAGAGCAGTATATTTCATTTTAGACAATGTAGGTTATCTCACTAGAGATGTTCAGAAATATAGAAGCTTGTAGCAATGTGAATGCAAGCTTGTCTGAGTTGGGGGTGGTTTTATCTGCCAGCTTGCTGGGAAGCAAATGTCTCACTGTAAAGAGAGTTTGGGAGGGCAGTGGATATGATTTCATTTGCAGTGCTGCTGATTATAGCTGGGGCACTGTAATTTCTAATTTATTACATCATGACTAAGCACAACAGGAGATATTGGTGTCTTGACTCCTGGGGTGGTTTGAAATGGTTTACCAGAAGACCTAAGAATACATATGATTGTGAATGGGCTGACTGGCATTCTAACTTTCTTGGTAAGTGGATTAAGAGCCTGAAACTATTTAAACTGGTCATTGGGGTTAGGTAACTTGTCTTTTCTTTTTGTTCTTTCTTTCCTTTTTATCTTTCCTTTTTCCTTCCTTTCTTCTCCTCCCCCTTCTTCTGTATAAATTAATCTTCATTGGAATTCTGCATAGTTTTACCATAGTTTTCTTTCATTGAAAATTTCTATAAGTATTTTTCTGGTGGGAGGAAGTGTTCTGACTGAAGATGACCTACATTTCCTATACAGTTCAGTTACTAAATCATACCACTGATGTAATGTTTCATTTTCTTGATTCACTTTTGAGTTTTAAAACTGTTAACAACAATTAGAGAAGAGAGGAAATTTCCGTTTTAAAGATATTACTCAAAATCAGCAAACTATTTCCTCTAACAACAAAACTTTGCATTTACTAAACAAAAATTTTATACCTTGCAGTTCCCACTTCTTTAAATTTCACTATTTTAAATTCTGAATACATACAAAACTCCAGTCACAAAAAATGGCAGAATTGAAGAAATTCGGATTTTGATTATTTGTTCTTACAATCACTGTGCTATCATTGTTTGTTCTGAGTCTACTACTGTTTAAACACAAGGGTACTCCTACACAGCAGGGACACAAATTGTATCTGAAGTGAACTTGAAGGATCCTGAACTGTAACGAACTTACCCTGAAAGGAAGCAGGGCTGGCTGCATCTGTGTGATAGTTACCGAGGCTGGCTCTACGCCTGCCTCTTCTTTGAATTAACTTCCAAACAGAGTTAAATAGACAGGAAACCAAACAGCAAAAAATACTTACAATCTAAAATTGCCAACTGTGGGGATATAGACAACTTTTTTACACAGTAAAAAGGTGCTAATATGAAGTTACATAGATATGACTAAAACTTGGTAGTAACCAGATAATTGTTTAGAATTTAGGGCTAATAGGGGAGCCTGGGTGGCTCAGTGGGTTAGGCGTCTGACTCTTAATTTTAGCTCAGGTCGTGATCTCAGGGTCATGAGACTGAGCCCCCTGTGGGGCCCCTTGCTGGGTTTGGAGCTTGCTTGGGATTCTCTCTGTCCCTCTCCCTCTGTGGCCCCATCTCAAAATAGATTAATTTATAAATAAAAATAAATAGAATTTAGGGCTGATACGAGATCTTCCCCCTTTACCCCAGGGTATTTTATTGTCGGCATTGTCTAGAACTTCCAGAAGAGGGTGATAATAAAAAGCAGTCAGAATTTTAGTTGGCTTTATTCAGCCTCTTATTGCGTTCTCCTGAGGCAAACTGCTCAGCTTTGGAATGCTACCAGCTGGGACTCAAAGTGGGGAATTTGTGACCTGAAATGTGTACACCTTCTTGTAGTTATTCATCTATGCATTCATTTGCTTATTTACCAAGTATTTGCTGGACACCTGTTATGTACCATGCACGGCATTACATGCTGGGAATAAAATGTTGAATAAGACATGAAACCAAATATTAAAGAATTTATGATCAAGTGGGGGGACATAGACAAGTAAATCTATAAATAGATATGGAGCAACAGGGCTACAGCAGGGTAAATATGGGAAATCAATGAAAAGGGCACATAGTTTGGTAATGCAGGCCTCTAGAGGGCACAGCTTTGCAGCTGAGACTATCTCTAAGTCTGACAACTATGCCTGAGCTAACTTTGTCGATGTTGCTTGTCTGTCTGTGTTTTCTGTTTTTACCAGGATTCAACTCAGACCCCTGAATGGACACCCTTGAACTTTCTGTTTTCTGTTCCCGTAATTAAGAACTATGACTCCTAATCAGGTTTTTGTCTTCTGACATCCCCCTCCATCTGCTTCCCTTCTTCCTCACCACTGGGGATGGCATTTGGAACATCTTTTCTCAAGGCTGTCTGCATCAGGACTGCCCTCAAGGAGTCCCTTCCATAGTAATCAGGTGGAACCTTAGAACCTAGCACTTTTGGAGTTTTCTTTGAATGGCTGGGACAGATATCAGAGATTTCATATTATCAATATAGATGTAACCTAATATTTGCATACTTGTGCCCAAGATATTTTATATTACAGACTAAAAAAGTAGGATGCACTTTCCAGAATAATGGAGACTTAAAAAAGCCTTGCAGTATTCAACTCTTATATTTTATTTTGTTTATTAAGCCACTTTATTTCTTACTTTGGAAAGAATGGTTGAGAAAATAAGCATTGAACATGATCCTTCTAAAAAATAAAGCTGGTACACACTGTTGATAATCACAAAGACAGTGGTGCCATAATTGTATACTTTTATGAAAAGCTTTCAGAGATTCTTTGGGCTGGGCTGAAGAACTGAAGATCATTTCCCCATTCTTGTCATCCTCTTCTTTGAATTAACTAAAACTTGGTAGTAACCAGATAATTGTTGCTCAGAGTTCTGTCAAGAATTTTATTGATGTTCCTTTCATCTTTTGCCTATAGATTTCATCAAATCTCTCATTCTGAGCCGCAGTGAAGTGGTTTTTCCAATCCCCCACAGTTCCTAGAAGAGAAAAATCAAGACGAGGTTGTCACTCTGAAAGTTTCTGTGACCCAACAACATGCCTGCCTTACTCCATCTACCCTTCAGAGCATACCCACCCACTGCAGCTCTCTGCTCTGAGAAGGGCCCTGGGGTGCTCTGTGCAGGGGGTAGGCTCCTAGCTCGGGCAGACAATTTATGCAAACGCACTGGTGCCTTGGCCACACCTGTGGAATATTCACATGATAGACTACTGCACAGAAACGAAAAGGAATGAACTACAGACACAGCCCCATGAAGGAATCTCAAAATACTACATTGAGTGACCAGACACAAGAAGGTACATACTGTATTATTTCATTTATATGAAGTCCAAGAACAGGCAAAATCAATCTATATTGACAGAAATGAGAATGATGGTTGTATCTGAGGGTGGAGATAGACAGAAAAGGACCATGAGAAGGAACTTTTTTTTTTTTTTTTTGAGTCTCTGGATTAAGCTGTATTTGAAACCTCTGGTTGAAGTTTTTTGCTTAATCTTCTTTAAAAATTTTTTTTAAATTAGCATATAGTGTATTATCAGCCCCAGGGATACCAGTTTACACACTTCATAGCACTCACCATAGCACATACCCTCCCCAATGTCCATAACCCAACCACCCTCTCCATACCCCACCTCCCCCAGGAAACACTCAGTTTGTTTTGTGAGATTAAGAGTCTCTTAGGGTTTGTCTCCCTCCCGATCCCATTTTGTTTCACTCTTTCCTTCCCTACCCCCCAAGCCCCCACTTTGCCTCTCAAATTCCTCATATCAGGGAGATCATATGATAATTGTCTTTCTCTGATTGACTTATTTCACTCAGCATAATACCTGCTAGTTTCATCCACATCATTGCAAATGGCAAGATTTCATTTCTTTTGATGGTTGCATAGTATTCCATTGTATATAGATACCACATTTTCTTTATCCATTCATCTGCTGATGGACATCAAGGTTCTTTCCATAGTTTGGCTATTGTGGACATTGCTGCTATAAATGTTCGGGTGCACATGCCCCTTTGGATCACTACATTTGTATCTTTAGGGTAAGTACCCAGTAGTGTGATTGCTGGGTCATAGGATAGCTCTATTTTCAACTTTTTGAGGAACCTCTGTGCTGTTTTCCAGAGTGGCTGCACCAGCTTGCATTCCCACCAACAGTGTAGGAGTGTTCCCCTTTCCCCAAATCCTCTCCAGCGTCTGTCATTTCCTGCCTTGTTAATTTTAGCCGTTCTGACTGGTGTGAGGTGCTATCTCATTGTGGTTTTGATTGTATTTCCGTGATTCTGAAGGATGCTGAGCATATTTTCATGTGTCTGTTGGCCATCTGGATGTCTTCTTTGCAGAAATGTCTATTCATGCCCTCTGCCCATTTCTTGATTGGATTATTTGTTCTTTGGGTGTTGAGTTTGGTGAGTTCTTTATAGATTTTGGATACTAGCCCTTTATCTGATATGTTGTTTGCAAATATCTTCTCCCATTCTGTCAACTGACAGAATTTGTCAACTGACAATATTTGTCTTTTGGTTTTGTTGACTGCTTCCTTTGCTGTGCAAAAGCTTATGATCTTGAGGAAGTCCCAATAGTTCATTTTTGCCCTTGCTTCCCTTGCCTTTGGCAATGTTTCTAGGAAGAAGTGGCTGCAGCTATGGTCGAAGAGGTTGCTGTTCTCCTCAAGGATTTTGATGGATTCCTTTCTCACATTGAGGTCCTTCAACCATTTTGAGTCTATTGTTGTGTGTGGTGTAAGGAAATGGTCCAGTTTCATTTTTCTGCATGTGGCTGTCCAATTTTCCCAACACCATTTGTTGAAGAGACTGTCTTTTTTCCATTGGACATTCTTTCCTGCTTTGTCAAAGAGTAGTTGACCATAGAATTGAAGGTCTAGTTCTGGGCTCTCTATTCTGTTCCACTGATCTATGTCTCTATTTTTGTGCCAGTACCATGCTGTCTTGATGATGACAGCTTTGTAATAGAGCTTGAAGTCCGCAATTGTGATGCCACCAACTTTGGCTTTCTTTTTCAACATTCCTCTGGCTATTTGAGGCCTTTTCTGATTCCATATAAATTTTAGGATTATTTGTCCCATTTTCTTTGAAAAAAAAAATGCATTAAACATGTAGATTGCTTTAGGTAGCATAGACATTTTCACAATATTTGTTCTTCCAATCCATGAGCATGGAACATTTTTCCATTTCTTCATGTATTCCTTAATTTCTTTCATGAGTACTTTATAGTTTCCTGAGTACAGATTCTTTGCCTCTTTGGTTAGATTTATTCCTAGGTCTCTTATGATTTTGGGTGCAATTGTAAATGGGATTGATTCCTTAATTTCTCTTTCTTCTGTCTTGTTGTTGGTGTATAGAAATGCAACTGATTTCTGTGCATTGATTTTATATCCTGACACTTTACTGAATTCCTGTATGAGTTCTAACAGTTTTGGAGTGGAGTTTTGGGTTTTCCACATAAAGTATCATATCATATGCAAGGAGTGATAGTTTGGCTTTTCCTTTGCTGATTTGGATGCCTTTAACTTCTTTTTGTTGTTTGAGTGTTGAAGCTAGGACTTCTAGTACTATGTTGGAATAGCAGTGGTGATAATGGACATCCTTGCCATCTTCCTGACCTTAGCGGAAAAGATCTCAGTTTTTTCCCATTGAGGATGATATTTTCACTGTGGGTTGTTCATAGATGGCTTTGATGATCTTGAGGAAGGTATCCTCTATCTCTACACTTTGAAGAGTTTTGACCAGGAAAAGATGCTATATTTTGTCAAATGCTTTTTCAGCATCTATTGAGAGTATCATATGGTTCTTGTTCTTTCTTTTACTAATGTGTTGTATCACATTGATTGATTTGTGGATGTAGAACCAACATTGCAGCAGGAATAAATCTCACTTGGTCATGGTGAATAATCCTTTTAATGTACTGTTGAATCCTATTGGCTAGTATTTTGGTGAGAATTTTTGCATCTGTGTTCATCAAGGTTATTAGTCTATAATTCTCTTTTTTGAAGGGGTCGTTGGTGTTAGGATCAAGGTAATGCTGGCCTCATAAAATGAGTTTGGAAGTTTTCCTTCAAGTTCTATTTTTTGGTACAGTTTAAGGAGAATAGGAATTAATTCTTTTAATGCTTGGTAGAATTCCCCTGGGAAGCCATCTGTCCCAGGGCTCTTGTTTGTTGGGAGATTTTTGATGACTGTTTCAATCTCCTTACTGATTATGGGTCTGTCCAGGTTTTCTATTTCTTCCTGATTCAGTTTTAGTAGTTTATATGTCTTTAAGAATGCATCCATTTCTGGGGCACCCGGGTGGCTCAGTGGGTTAAAGCCTCTGCCTTCGGCTCAGGTCGTGATCTCAGGGTCCTGGGATCGAGCCCCGCATCGGGCTCTCTGCTCAGCTGGGAGCCTGCTTCCTCCTCTCTCTCCGCCTGCCTCTCTGCCTACTTGTGATCTCTGTCTGTCAAGTAAATAAATAAAATCACCTTTTTTTTAAAAAAAAAAGAATGCATCCATTTCTTCCAGATTGTCAAATTTGCTGGCATGTAGTTACTCATAATATGTTCTTATAATTGTTTGTATTTCTTAGGTGTTGGTTGTGATCTCTCCTCTTTCATTCATGATTTTATTTATTTTGTCCTTCCTCTATTCTTTTTGATAAGTCTGGCCATGGGTTTATCAATCTTATTAATTCTTTCAAAGAACCAGCTTTATTTTATCGATTTGTTGTACTGTTCTTTTGGTTTCTATTTCATTGATTTCTGCTCTGATCTTTATTATTTCTTTTCTCCTGCTGGGTTTAGGCTTTCTTTGTTGTTCTTTCACCAGCTCCTCTAGGTATAGGGTTAGGTTGTGTATTTGAGACCTTTCTTGTTTCTTGAGACAGGCTTCTATGCTATATAGCTTCCTCTCAGGACCACCTTTGCAATGTCCCACAGATTTTGAATGGTTGTGTTTTCATTTTCACTTGTTTCCATGAATTTTTAAATTCTTCTTTAATTTCCTGGATGACCCATTCATCCTTCAGTGAGATGCTCTTTAGCCTCCATGTATTTGAGTTCCTTCCATCTTTCCTCTTGTGATTGAGTTCTAGCTTCAGAGCATTGTGGCTTGAAAATATGCAGGGAATGATCCCAATCTTTTGGTACCAATGGAGACCTGATTTGTGACCCAGGATGTGATCTCATCTGAAGAATGTTCTATGCGCACTAGAGAAGAACGTCTATTCTGTTCCTTTGGGATGGAATGTTCTGAATATATCTGTGATGTCCATCTGGTCCAGTATGTCACTTAAAGCCTTTATTTCCTTGCTGATCTTTTGCTTGGATGATCTGTCCATTTGAGTGAGTGGGGGTGTTAAAGTCCCCTACTATTATTGTCAATGTGTTTCTTTGAGTTTGTTATTAATTGGTTTATATAGTTGGCTCTTCCCATGTTAGGGACATAGATATTTAAAATTGTTAGATCTTCTTGTTGGACAAACTCTTTGAGTATGATATAGTGTCCTTCCTCAACTCTTATGGCTTAAAATCCAATTGATCTGATATAAGGATTGCCACCCCAGCTTTCTTCTGATGTCCATTAGCATGGTACATTGTTTTCCACCCCCTCACTTTAAATCTGGAGGTGTCCTTGGGTCTAAAATGAGTTTCTTGCAGACAGCATATTGATGGGTTTTGTTTTTTTTTATCCATTCTGATATCCTGTGTCTTTTGATTGGGGCATTTAGCCCGTTTAGTAATTCAGAGTAACTACTGAGAGATATAAATTTAATGCCATTGTATTGCCTGTAAGGTGACTGTTACTGTATATTGTCTCTGTTCCTTTCTGGTCTACTACTTTTAGGCTCTCTCTTTGCTTATAGGACCCCTTTTAATATTTCCCGTAGGGCTGGTTTGGTGTTTTCAAACTCTTTTAGTTTTTATTTGTCCTGGAAGCTTTTTATCTCTCCTTCTGTTTTCAGTGATAACCTAGCTGGATATA